TCAAAGTCACTCAGTAAATAACTGAGGTTTGTTTTGGTTCAGAATTTCCTTCAATCTGTTCAATATTAAAGAATGGAGGTAAATCATATGCAAGGGTGGGAAAAGGCAAGAAAACAATTTGAAACAGAATTGTTGTCAATTCTAAAGATATGGAGATTGGGTAATTATTTCCCAGGGTACAAGCTGTACCTGAAAAAATATTCAGAGCAAAATGTGTATTTTGCATCGAATACATGTTTTCAGTTTTGCCAGCAAAGTAGTATCTTCAACAACAAAGTCCAAATAAATATGCAAACAACAAAACAAACATACAAACAAAAATCTTGTTTCCAAGAATAAATTTGGAAGAAGAAACTCTCTTCCAACACACAGTATTCGAAGGGTTTCTTCCTAAGCCAGTTCTGGTTAAAAGTTTTTAAATTAGTAAAACCACAACAGTAAATTCCAAAGAGTAAACACTGTCCAAGTATTTCTCGTATCTCAATTTTTTTCTTTAGGTACGGTATCAGTTTTCATTCCTTAAAACAGTCTAATTTTCATTACAAGAAAAGGACTAAAGTACATACAGATAGACTGTAATATGGAAATAAAGGGGAAGGAGGTAAAGAAAAACCTCACCCAAATAACCAGAAGGATTTTAACTCACTAATTAAACTCAATGCTGTGGTTTAACCTGGCAGTCAGCTAAACACCACACAGCCACTCACTCACCTACTCCCAGTGACGGGGCAGATAATCAGAAAAAAGATAAAACTTGTGAACCGAGATCAAGATAGATTAATAGGATGGGAAAATAATAATAATAGTAATAAAAAATACACAAAATTAAGTGATGCACAATTGCTCACCTCCCACTGACCGATGCCCACCCAGTCCCTGAGCAGTGGGCTGCCAGCCCATGGCTAACTCTCCACCAGGTTTTATTGTTCAGCATAATGCAAAACGGTATGGGATATCCCCCTGATCAGTTGGGGTCAGCTGTCCCAGCTGTGTCCCCTCCTAGATTTTTGTGAACTCCCTGGCAGGGCAGTATGAGATGCTGACAAGTCCTTGATGTAGTGTAAGCATTGCTCAGCAACAACTAAAATATCAGTGTGTTATCAACATTATTCTCATCCTAAATCAAAAACATAGTGCTCTACTAGCTACTAGGAAGAAAATTAACTCTATCCCAGCCAAAACTAGGACAGTCAGTTTGCTAGCTCCTATTCCTGAAAATATGGCACAGTTCCAGGAGGGAAAAAGAAGATGTCTTTGTAGTTATTTTCCTGTAATACCGTGACAGACCTTCAGTGACAAAACAGGCAATGGGAACCAGACCCATCAGTCTGTCCTTCTGAGGAGTCAGAGCACAGAAGGGAATTTAAATGACCTGGTTGAGCCTGCTGGTACCACTGAGATGGCCAAGCCTGTTCTAGAAAAAAACAAACCAAGTTTTTTCCCTGTTGTGAAATAGAGGGATCTCAACATAGTCTGCAAAACAGACCTGTCAGAAAAGAAACAGACACAAGTGACTAATGAGTAGTACATCTGGTAAAATGCTGCATACTCATAAAGACCATGCATAGAAATACCTAAGGATAGGGACTACAAAAACAGTCTGATGAAGACAATCTGATGACTGGTACAGAATTTCAAAACACGTTCCTTCTTCACGTGAAAGTAATCTCATCTTGCACAAGTTCAGCTTCATCTTGTTTATGTACAAGCCTTTACCTCCACTAACATGAAGAACTAATCATTATCTACTGTTTTTGGTAGACAGCAGCATGGCACCTCAAGTCTCTGTCCTTTCTAAATGACCAAATATAGTTCACTGAGCTCCAGCAGCACACAGAGCAAAAAGATTAATCCTTCAGAGAAACCTAATAAAAACTGCCAAACACAATTCCACTCTCCCAGAACCTCTCAAAAAAAAAAAAAAAAAGCTTTAAATTACTCAATTTCATATTATTTAATAGCTGCACATATTAACTGTGAAGCTATATATAGCTAAAATAACCATAGTTAGTTACTGTATTTAATAAAGCTTGATGTAGGCCACTCTACTCAAAGATTCCCCATGTGTTTTGCAGTTGCAGAATATGTGACACTAATTTCCTAAATTTCTTTAAGAGGGCCAGACCTCCTGTGCATTGAGTAAGGCTTTACTGATACACATACCACCTTGGAACTGTAGCATTTCCTAGGCTAATGGTGTGCAGCAGGTGCTCTTTGCAACAGGGATAACGGACATAAAAATCTACTAAAACAAGATTCTAAGTGTGCCTGATTCTCTTACATCAGCCATGAAGAACCTGCAGCGGTTTAGAAGAATGGCTCACAATCAGTAGTTCCTTTTTATTATGCAGGTAATATGTTGTCTTAGAGACCCTAGAACACCTACCATTTTTATTCTGCAATCATTTACAGACTGTAGTGCCAATTCTTCTGTGCAACTGTTGATCAATTCTTTGGAATGATACATGGGCACATCGTTCTGACAGTTTTGACTTTATTTCTTTCATCTGAGCACAACAGTTGACTTTTTCTAATAAAAGTATTACTATCTCTTCATGTGAGAACGAGATTAGTTCTGAGATGATGTCAAGACAGTCCAGCCTAATAAGGTAGTTCATGATCCATGGAAAAGGTCTCAGAAACAGAAATTAGCTGCTGCAGTGACAGGCAAGAAAAATGAGGTTTTAATCTCAAAGATACAATACAAAAATTCTAGAATAAGGAAAGTAATATTAAGCTTGTCTGTCAGATCCCCATAAGTCTCGAGCTACACTAAGGAATGGTCCACACCATAACAGCACTCATGGAAGCTGTTGTTTGTGATTACGGTATTACCAGCAACTTCCAAAGAACACAGAGACACTGTCAGTAAAAACTCTGCCCTGTAGGTACTTCAGAGGAGTTCTCTGAAAGCAGCCTTATCATCACTTCGCACAATGCTTATCTAAAAGACTTGCTTGATGGCCAGAGCTAAGGGTTTACAGTTCCTGTATGTCCCTGTCAAATGCTAGGGATAAGATCCACATTGCAGAGTGCTGAAGTTCTCTTTTTAGAAAACAGTAACATTTATTTACAAAGAACTGTTTAGAAATGCCAACTACATAGTCCAAACATGTGGACTAACCAGACTTGGAAGCCATCTATCTCAAAAGGAAAAAAGGAAAAGACTCATTGATGTTGGTTTCATAGTGAATGTTATATAAATAAACTAAATACATATAAATAAAATGAACTAGTAATGTCACATTAAGGTTAAGAAAACAGTAACAGATTTCAAATTATTTTTCTTCAAGTAGTATCATGTATAGTAAAGTATAGTGTAAGTCTAACTCTACTGGTAGGATGGAAAAACCATCACATTATTTTGCAAAAGTTAAGTTCTTAAAAGACATTTCATAGCTATTTTCAGTTCTAAAGAAAGTATTTTTGAGAAGCCTCTTAAATTCTGTATCCAACTGTTTCACAGTCATTCAACCTTGAACAAATACACTGGACTATTTTTTTTTCCTTTTAGTGCAATTGGATATTTTAGTCAGTTACCTTTAGGGAACACCACATTTTCTCACAATAATCATTAAGAATCCTGTAATTAGATCATTTTAAAGAGAGCATCAATTTTCCCAATTTATTTATGCACTGTTCAGCTGGTATTGAAAACCAACTGTCTGGAACAAGCATCAGTGGAAAAGAACTGAAATTAAGCACTGAAAAATTGGACATTTAACTAGTCCCATTATATGCATCTACTAATCACTGTGAGTATAGCAAGACGGGTGCTCTGGTTGTAAACACATTTCAAAAGCGTCCCTGGAAGGATGAACATTCTTCCTTTCTTCTTAGAAAAATGCATTCTTCTATTTCTTTGCCAGCTGACGTCTCCTAGGCAGAGGAAGAGCCAGACCTCCTACAAATCTACTTTTGCAGGAGGAAGATATGTAACACAGTAAAATCAGAAAAGAATATCAAGCTAACAGCCTATTTCCCATCTGTGTTTCTTCGTGCTTTTTCTAGCATTAAAATAAATAAATAAATAAAATATCCTTTGTTTGAGAGAAGATACAGGGAGAAAGTTTTTGCCTCCCCATACAGCCAAGTTAAGCAAAAACAAACAAATAAACAACAACAACAAAAAAAAGGGACAAAACAACCAACCAACCAACCAAACAAAACCCCCAAAACCTGATGTACAATGTACAGTTTAAGTGTAAAAACTTTCAGACTAGGGAATAAACCCTGCACACCTGCCTCAGGAAGTGTGCCATTACTGGGACACTGCTACTGTTACCTATAGCAATCAAAACCAGACTGCTGTACTGTCCCAAGAGGCTGCTGCTTTGCGGTCCGTGATTTCAAATTTTACTTTTGCATGCAATAAATCTTATGGTAATTTCATTGTAGTGGTTCTTTTCACAAGGCAGCTGCTGACACGTCCTTCTCTGAGGGCTGAGCAATCCCACTCCCTCACTTAGGCTCATCACCACGGTCCGAAGCTTCCAGGTACATACCCTGTATCAGAAACCTTTATTTCAGATGATCAGTGCACAGATACATGCTACACACAAAAGAGGGATTCCAGCTTATTCCCGGGCCGAGGATCCCCAGTCATCAGCCCCCGCTGCCGCTCGGGGTGGGCGGGCTGGCTGTGCAGCCCCGGGGAAAAGGAAACCACCACTCGCCCCGGAACGCTGCAATCGCCGAGGGGTAAAACGCTACCCGGGGCTCACCGAGCATCGACATCGATTTATGGCATCGACAGCCATAATTATGAGACCTCCCGGAGAACACGAACACCGACACGGCTCACGCCCCAGCGCTGGGGTCGGTGCCCGCCGGAGGCGCACGGCACGACCAGAGGCCGCGGTGCGGAGCGCGGCGGCGGCACACCGGCCCTCGCCGCCCCCTCCCGGCCAGGCAGCGCAGACCCCGCCGCCGCTCCGAGCCGAACGATGGCCAGAACCCCCGTCCCTCCCTGCGGGCGCGGAGAGGCGGGCGGCTCTTACCCTCTGCGCGGGAGCGGATCTCGGACACGGTTTTCTGCACCGCCGGCATCGCCGCCAGGCGAGGGGCGGTGGCGCAGCCGCCACCCCCCAACAGCGCGCCCTGCACCTGCCGCGCTCCGGAGCGCGCCCTGCGCTCCGCTAGGTCCGGGGCGACGGCGATGGGTCCCGGCGGCGGCTCCTCCGACAGCCCGAGGCGGCGGCTCCTGCAGCCCGAGGCGGCGGGCTCGCCCCGGCAGCGCCTCTCCCCGCCGGCGGCGCCGCTGCTCACTGACAGCCGCGGCGCCCGCGCTCCGCGCTCGCCGGCCCCCTCCGGAACCTACCAACTCCGCCCCCCCTCTCCCCCCCGCCTTCTTGTCCCGCGGCGCTCCTCCGCCATCTCCCCATTTCCCGGGGCTCGGGCTTGCCGGGTGGCTGCGCCTAAGCGGGCACCGCCACTACGGCGCTCCGTGTCCCGCTCACGGAGTGAGGCGAAGGGTTTCCGACGCGCCCCCCACCCCTTGCGCACAGGGAATGGAACGCGCCGAGCGCTGGGCCGCTGCCCGGCACTGGGGGCGGGCGGGGGAAGCCCCGAGGAAGGTCGGCCGGTGCCTCCGGCTGCGGGGGCGGGCGGGCACCCGTGACCGGGGGAGGGAGCGGCGGGGGCCGGGCCGGGCAGGGCCGAGCGGGGTGAAGGGGGCCATGCCAAGCGTGCGCAGCCCGTCGGCCCCGGCTGGGCAGGTCGGCGGGGCGGAGGGCAGCGGGCAGCGGGCCCGGCGGGGAGCATGCAGAGCGTGTTCTGTTCCTCCCTCGGTCTCGTACGCTGCTGACAGACGTGTAAATGGAGCGAGGGGCGCGACGGGGGCCGGGAGGCGTTCATGCAGAGAGGGAATTTGAAACGGTGCTCCACAGCCCTCATTCCGTGGAAGAGAGGGTTGGGTGTCTCGCTCTGTTTGACAGGCAGCCTCCAAACTCTCGCCCAGCTTTTTATTTTTAATCTTCCCTAAGTTAGGATGCTGCAGTTTGACAGCCGTGAGTCAGTGTGAATCCAAGCTCTTCTCCTGTGTGGGCTGCTGGAAAGGAGGTCCCAGGCGCAAATGCCTCGGGCTGGGGCAGCAGCAGCGGCACTTTTCGCTTCCAGACCGTGAGGATGACACGGGAGTGTCTGCAACAGCCTGAGCAATGCGGCTGCGGAGGGCTGTCCCTGTGCCTCGGCAAAAACAGGACGGAGAGGAAAATATGAAAGGTGATGGGATTTGGAAGCTCTCTTGGTGTAATTATGTTTTGCATCTGTTTCAATCAGGCATAAAGCATACTGACTACCTAGGGGACAATGGAAGTTATGAAATGGAATAAAGCTACTATTGTCCCATGATTCTTGAGCAGATTTTAGGCTGACGTGTCCATTAAAGGCCACCATTGTGTCTCCCAGAAAGTACATAACACAGATTACGAATGCAGCATTGCTGCTGATTTCATTAAACAGCATACACACATGCTATGAAACAATAAAATACATACAGTCTTTCTTAATAGCAAAAGAGTCAGTCTTTTTGTTTGATAAAATTGTATAAATTTCATCTACATAAACAAGCAAAACATGTAGATGTGGTGCTTAGGGACGTCGTTTAGTCGTGGACCTCACAGTATCGTTAATGGTTGGACTAGATGGTCTTAGAGGCCTTTTCCAGCATTAAGGATTTTGTGATTATATGAAGCAGTGCTTCATTCATGGAGAAAAGTGAACCAAGAATTTTTTTTTCTTAGATGCCAAGCTCAAATATCAGGGAAGAGGAAGAAGAGACAACTGCATTAGGAAATAAATGCAGTGGATTGCTTTCAAGCCACAGGCCAAAAAACCTCCTAGAGATGCCCCTTCAAAAGAGAATGCTTTTCTGCATCATCCTGTGCAAAAATCTGAGAGCATTGTTTGTGGTTTTGTTTTTGTGGTTTTGATTTTGAGAGGTTTTTTTTTTTCAGAACCAGAAACAAAGATTGTACAAAGATCTCTCTTCATGTGTTTTTACTGGTAAAATAAAATGCCTGGAAACAACAGGCATTGCTCACTCCGTTTTAAGAAATAGTCACTGTAGGTCAGTCAGCCGTGGGTAGGCTTTGCCAATGCAAGTTACTTTCTGGAAGAAATAGCTTTTAGTTTTCTGTTGAGATTCCACTGAAGCCTAACTGAAGCAGTCATTTAGGAGACTCAACATTATCTATCTATCTATCTATCTGTATCTGTGTGTGTCTGTGTGTATATATAAACCTCCCAGCATATATAAGGCCCTTTTGTGAAAAAGGATCTTGGGAGGTGGTGGTGGTTTGCAATTTATGGCAGCAGTAATACTATTGTTAAAAGACTACAGTAAAACTGTGAAACTCACTATAAATCTATATACATGCCAGTGAGTATGCGTTTTCCCTCAAATTACTGCAATGCTGGTGACAAATAGGATTGTCACTTAAATCTGCATTTGGATCACTTTATATGTCTAAATTTGGGGGTTTTGGCTGTAAGATCCCTGGCAAGTGGTGCTTATTACTGATACCTTAGGGCAGCTGGAAGGGTACCTACTTCAGTACAGAAGATAATAAAACAATGCTGCCAAGTGTTATTTGAAATTCTGAATTTTAACAAGGCCAACTATCCACCTTACAAAATAGCAGAGCAACCAAATTTCTAGCTTTATCCTTGGTATACTTTTGTGTCCTCTGAGTTATCATGAAAGCTTAGTGTCACAATTTATTTTTGAAAGAAAAAGCCTTTTTTGAATTTATAGTATGAATAATAGTTGAAAAAGAGTAAGGTTTATTAAATCTTACCATCACTTAAGAAATGTTCCAGTTTCCCAGTGTTTATTCTACAAAGCCTCAATGGTAAGCTAAACATGCTTAACCGTTTAGTTACACAACAGACAGTTCATCCAGATGTCATCCAAATATATGAAACTCTATATATGAAGCTGCTGTATTTCCTAACAGTCCCCATCCACTTGCAACATTGCTCCAGAAGAAGCCCAGTAGCCTCTATCTCCTCTACCTTCCCCTCCCTGAGATATTGCAGCAGAACCAACTGGCTCTTGTATTTATTTCTTTCCTTTGGAAAACAAGTATACGAGCTCCATCTCTTCACCTCCTCTGTGGTAAGCCTATGTCACTCAAGCAGTGTCCGTCTCCACACATTACCCTTCTCGTTTTGTACAAACAGCACAGGAAAGGCTTCTGCAGCTTTTTAAGCTGAGAGTATGCTCTATATTTAAGGAAGCCAATATTTGGTTTTGGATCATCACTTTGTTTGGAATATACATGACAGGACTGTGAAACAGAAGCAACCATCCAGCTTTCCAGCACAGGTGTAAATGAAGTAGTATGTGTATATTCTGCTTTAAAGATTAGATGACACTCTGGATTGAATTTGCTCTTTGATTTCCATGTGTATTTTGAAATATGTGGAAGCTCTGGTGGGACCAATAGCAGTTTATTAGCATTAATTTATTAGCACACACTACCTTTTGGAAAAAAAGGAAGACAAACCCCGCACTTTTTAAATATATGCAGAAAAATTGCATATCCATACAGAAGAACAAATTATTTCAGATGGAGAAAATGTCTTGTAATGACAGCTAAAGTGTTGAGCAAGTAAAGGAAAATTATTAAAGGATACCCGTTTATTCAAAAGCTAAAAGTATCACATATACTACTTTGTATTTTGATGAATTTGACTAAGGTATGATGAACCGGTCTTATCTCACCCATACATCTCTAATGGCCTTCAATGGTATAGGCTACTTAACCCAACTGAAATCTGTTCTTGCATGTGGTATAAACACCTACTTTATTAGGAAATATAGAAGTTTCCATTCTTTCTGATATATCAAATATCCACTGTAGTAGCCTCACAGAGTAAGAAATACTCTATTTAAAATGACTACATATATAAATGAGGGTAAATGAGATTTGCAGTCTTGAAGTTTTCACAAACTTGACACATATAAAATTTTAATCTAGATTTTTTCCAGTAATGCTATTAATGCATATGAAGTGGTGCAATTTCCCTTTATGATATACTGACAGAAAATAGGTGGCCAAGTTTCATACAAAAGGAAGGGAAAATTAATACTGTAACTTCTGCTTTTTTTTCCCCAGAGTTTTCTGGAAAGGACTTCTGGCATATGTCTTTTTCTGCTTCATAGGATACTGCAGCAACTAGTGGCTGTGCAATAATCTCAAACTCGCATAATATTTTAACCAATACTTTTGTATTTTAATACATAAAATACTCTCATACCACAGGAAGCGTCTAGTGAATTTTATACGTAGCTACATCTAAAATTCAAAAAGTTACAGAGAAACAACCATTTTAACTCAGATGAATCTGTAATTTCCTGGAAGATTATGTATGGTATTGCTGAAGACAACCAGTACTGTGCTTAAAGGACTATAGCATATTCTTGCTTTCCTTACTTTTTTTGACCCTGTGAAAGAGTAACACTTCCGGGCTCTGTGTACTGATTTTTAAATCTGTTGTACATATGTTTAAGCCTAAGCTTCTACTAACTTTTCTATAAGCAGATCAGATTAAGTGCTTTAAAATTCTTCCTGAAGCCATTAAAATGGTAAAAAGATGTTTCACTTACAAAATTACATGTTAACTTACTGTTATTTTCTAAACTTTGGAATTTCTCATATTAGGTTTGTTTAATCTTCTCAGATAAATATATCTCCAAAGCAAGCTTATATAAATAATTTGACTTCCCTTTGCTGATATTTCAAGTACTCCCGATGAAATTCCTGAAGTTCTCTGGGTGGTTTAACAGAAAAAACCAAATCTTTTGTTTGCTCAAATATTACATCTGTGACGTTTTTATTATAGAATGTGCTTGATCTGTACAAGCCAGTGTAAATTTATATTGAGTGTACCCTTTATGATTATGAAAGACAAAATTCTCCTTTCCTTGTGGCAAGACATGTTAATAAAAGAAACCTCAAACCCCTGAAATGGATATTTATACATATAGAACATGCCCACAAAAAACATCACAGAATTCAATCTCTTGGCTGATTGAATGAAGGCATTCCTGTAATTTCTCACTAGCAGGAGAAGTAGCAGTGTCTGTAGCAGTGCCTGATTGCATAAACAAACCATGGGAAAGTCAAATAAACCCAGACAAACAGAAACAAAGCAGATCCAGAGTGTGAGAGGTAGACACTACATCCATATATCCTTTTCTTTGTAGGCTGAGCTGTACACCCGAGCCTAAATGTCCTTCACTGAAATT